TAATAAAGGTAATGATTAAATCTTTGCTTAACCACTAAAAGAGCATATATGTGAAAATAAAAGCAAAATAAAATGCAAGCACTTACTTAGCATAGTATAACCCTTGATATGACAATAATAAACATTCATTGTGTTCTGTGCCCTTATTTTGAAGATCTCATGCTTGTTTAGCCTTGTTTTTATGGAGGTAGATATTATCATTATTCCTTTCTTCAATAGAAAAAAATCTGAGGCAAAGAAAGATCATGTAATAATATAGATGTTTATTATCCAATTAAATAATTATCTAAGAAAAGTACTAAACTAACAGATGAGATTTACATGCTTTGTTGTACCCTCACATATTGTGTGAATATTTGAGTTCTTACACTTCTTCCTTCTGAAAAAAAGGGAGATAAGTACAATTTTATGAACTTTTTTGATCTTAAATTAACATCATCCAACACAGGATGACTGTTTTGAATAATGTGCATATGGATTCACAGAAGCAGTTATTGCCTTACACACGTATATAACTGTCTTAGTTCTTTTGAAAATTTTATTTGAGTAACTATGTTTTTTTTTCAGACTTATTTATTTATTTAAAAACCAAGCTTCACAGAGAGAAATAGAGAAAGGGAGAAATGGAGAGAGATAATCTTCTATATGATAGTTTGCACCCCAAATTGTCACAATGGTCAGAGCTGGGCTTGTCTGAAGCCGGGAGGATAGAGTTTGCTCTGGGTCTCCCAGCTAAGTGCAGGGGCCCAAGGACTTGGCACATCATGCGCTGCTTTCCCAGGTGAATTAGCAGGGATCTAGGGCGCAAGTGGAGCAGCTGGGACTTAAAGGATTTCACGTGGAATACCAGCATCCTGCTGATCACCATGAATTGTTTTCATAGGTGAAGATCCTATAGAACCTTGCTGATATGACAATATCAAATATTGATGCTTTAAAGAAGGTCAGTAAACTTTCCCTGTGAAATGGCAGATAGAATATATTTAGTCTGGCAAGCCACTTAGTCTCAAAATAGTCTGCCTGTTTTAGGGCAAAAGCAGACATAGTAAATATGTAACTAAATGGGCATAATGTGTTCCAAATAAAATAAGTTTGATAGCCAAATTTGGCTCAATAGCCTATTTTTTTTTTGCCACCTTTTACAGATTTAATTTATTTTTAAAAAAGATTTATCTTTATTTATAGGAAAGTCAGATTCACAGAAAGGCGAGACAGACAGAAAGATCCTTCACTGGCTGGTTAAATCTCCAAATGGCTTTAATGGCCAGAGCTGAGCTGATCTGTAGCAAAAAGTCCCTCAGATCTTCCACATGAATGCAGGATCCCAAGGTCTTGGGATGTCCTCCACCGCTTTCCCAGGCCAAAGGTAAAGAACAGAAGGTAAATGGAGCATCTGGGACATCCATATGAGATCTTGGTGCATGCATCCAAGGACCCCAGCCACTAGGCTGCCACACTGGACCCTTTTGCTTTCCACTTTGAAAGTGTAGTTGTTGCTGCTGTTTGGAGAAAAGCAAAAATATCATTCAAAGACAGGTTAAACATTCTTGTGAAAAAAACAACACATACAAAGAATGAAGTGATACAAAATATGACAATTGATTTCCTGTATCACTCAGAAACAGTCTTTCAAGGAAACAGTAATAGATTTTCAGAAGAGAGATTATAATCAGTGCACAGTTTGTCAAGGTGACAAGCTTATGGAAGAAAGAACTTGCATATCTAATTCCTTAGACTATACATAATTTAGAAATGAAGAACTCATTTCTTCATGTTCCTTAAACATTTATACTTTTTTCTTTACTGTGTAGACTTTACATTGAACCATTCAGCATTTGTCTTAATTTTTTTTTCATTTGTTGTGGGACACTTTTTATGTTTTTACTTTCAAATGTTTGAATTTCTTTAATTGAGAGCTGTATACAGGAGAGGGAGGAAAAGATGGAGTTTCTGTTCCCAAATTCACTCCCCAAATGTCCAAGCAGCCAGGTTAGAACACAACCAAGCCAGGAGTCAGAATTCAGCCGGGGGTCTCACAGTGGGTGGTTAGGACCCAGAGGCATCACTTTCTGCCTCGTGGGTGCATCAGACATGTAGGGTCAGAAACAAGAGCAGATCTCAGAACCAGTCATGCCTGTGGATGTGGATGTCCTAGGCTGAGACTTCATCGTTTATACCACAATGTCTGCCCCGGAACCCGCTGCAGGAAACATTTAAAGTAGTTATTTGCATCAGTTGTCACTTGCAAGCATCAATACAGCATAATGAATTTTAGAAAGTGATATTTTAATCTGTCTAGTGGGATTTGAACACGAGAGCTTTAGCTAAAATGTCACTGATGTTTACAGTAATCCTTGTTTCAGCTACTAAATTGAAAAATGCCTCCTGGTGAGTAAAACAATGATGATATAATCAGTCGATTCACATAAGCCTTCTTGGTTGATTGATCATAGCAGGTCAGTACAGCAGGACAAGGTTCAGTGCTCCTAGCACTCTCCATACTGGTTTCCAGACTGGTTGTCCTAGCCTACACTCTCACCAACAGTGAAGGGGGAACCCCTTGCTTCTCATCCACACCTTAGGTGCTGTTAGTAGAGTTCTGAATATAGACCATTGTCACTGGAGACAGGTGGAACCTCAATGTGATTTGCCTTTGTATTTTCCTTCTTGCTAGGAAGCTGAGGATTTTTTTTTTCATATTTCTATTAGCCATTGGAATTTGTTCTTTTGAAAAATGTCTGTTCACTTCCTTTGCCCATTTCTTCACATTTTTTTTCTGTTTAGCTGTCACTGAGATTCCCTGAAGCTCTTTTGTAAATCCTTGATATTAGTCCCTTATCAGTTTTGTAGTGTGCATATCCACCCCCCACCCCCCGCTTCTATTGTCTGCTTCCTCACTTTGCTGATCATCTTTGCTGTGCAGCAGCTCCTCAGCTTGATGCCATCCCAACGGTTTATTGGGGCTTTGAGTGTCTGTGCTTTTGGTGACTTTTCTAAGAAGTCTTTCTCCACTCCAACATCTTGGAGATTGCTCCTAGGTCTTCCTCTAATAGTTTGATGGTTTCAGGGTGCAGATTTAGGTTCTTGATCCATTTAAATGCGATCTTTGTGTAAGGTGAGATGTGGGGTCTTGCTTCTTACCTCTGCAGGCTGCTATGCAATTGCACTACAGCATTTGTTGAAGAGACCAGGCTTTCCCTGGTTTGTTTTCAGTTCTCTTGTTGAAGATTAGTTGGCTGTATGTGTGTAGATTTCCCATCGGGTTTTATATTTGCATCATCAATGCTCTTTGCTTCTGTACCAATACCAAATGGGTTTTTGACAACAGCCTTGTTATATGTCTTTAGTCCGGAATTTGGTTCCTCCAGCTTGATTTTTATTCTTTAGGATAGCTTTTGCTATTCATGTTCACTGTGTTTCCAGATAAACTCTTGTATCTTCTTTCTATTTCTGAGAAGGATGTTGTGGGGATATTTATAGAAATCACATTCAATCTGTCTATTACTTTTGGTAATATGCATATATTGATGATTTAATCTGTCCATCCAGGAATATTGGCAAATTTCTCCAATTTAATGGCTTCTTCTATTTTTTGTTTGTTTGCTTGTTTTTACTGTTTTACTTTTAATCATAGAGATCATCCTCATCTTTGGTTAGATTAACTGTGAGGAATTTTTAAGATTTCTCTTCCCTCTTTATAGGGGGCTGTAATTACATTTTTTTAGCCATCGTGTTAATGTGGGTTTTAGTGCCATTGATTTATGTTCATTATTGTTTTGTATCCTGCTACTCAGCCAAATTCTCTTAAGAGTTCCAAAAGTCTCTTGATTGTGTCTTTTGGTTTTCCTCTGAAGAGAATCATGATGCAGCTATCCCTCTGATGGGAATATATCCAAAGGAAAGAAATCTGCATATGAGAAAGGGATCTATAATCCAATGTTTATAGTTCACAATCTATAACAGCAATGACATGGAAACACCCAGATGCTCATTCAAAGAGGAACGAATAAAGAGACCAGGATACATACACCCCATGAAACACTACTAGGCTTTTCAAAAAGAATGAAATTCTACCATTCACAACCATATGGTGCCAACTAGAGACCATTATTCTCAGTGATACAAGTCAATCCCAGAAGGACAAATATCACATGTTCTCTCTGATATAAGGCAACCTCTTGGCAAAATATAAGAGTAAAAGTACTTTCAATACTGTTTATGCTGCATCTCAGGGGTTTTTGATATTTTTGCTTAGGTTTTCATTTCTTCAGAATAGTTTTTTTTTCCCCCTCTCATTAAGTTCTTCATTGACTCATAGATCATACAGTAGCCTCATTTTCAAGAAGATTTTTGATTTTTGTTTTTCATTTTTTCAGAGACACATTGGTCATTGTATCACATGTTATTTAACTTCATGTCATTATAAATTTTCTAATTTGCTTCCTTCTGTTGATTTTGTCTTATGGCTTTTCATTTAAGGGTATATATAGTAACTGTGTAATAGAGGCTAGCATATCCAGATGTAAACCTACAATGCAGTATGTATCTCTATTCCAAATCAAAGATGGATTCCTAAAGAATCTGTTAAACATATTTTGAAAATAGGATGCTGGTCTGTGTGTGATTGTCTGTACCTGCAATGTCAGGATACACTTAAATGGTTGAATGATGGACTTACTGCTATTTATGAACGAATACACTATTGTACATTATATAGGGCAAACCAGTGGGTGGATGGGGCTTTTAGGAGAAAGGAGTTGAAATCCTAGAGCTCATAGAACTGTATCTAAAATAATTAAAAATTTGTAATAAAATTAATTAATTAAAATAAGTAAATTGTAACTACACAGTGAAAAGAGATTCAAACATTTTCTCAAGGGTAGAAATAAATTTGTTTCTCTAGTGATTCAATAAATGATTAGTTTTGTCAGGAAGTGCATGTAGTTATTTCTGCTTTATACTAACTAGGCAATTACAAGTTTCCATATTTTTCTCTATAGGAACAGAAGCTGCCGTAAGTCCAACTTTTGAAATTCACCATCAGGCTGAAGGACTTGAACTGTATCCTATTCCATGTTTTAGTACTTTTGGCCCCCCTCCTCCATATGAAGAAATTAAAAGCAAGCCAATTTTAAATCTGAATCATGGGTAGAAAGTATTACACATATTGATAAGAATTTTCCTACGAATTTTCAGAGTGCTATTAATCATGTCTGGAAAACGAAAGACAAATGACCAATGCAGAGGAAAGATCTTGGCTATTGAGATGTTTCAGTAGTGAATCAGTGGACTCTATTTTAACACTGTTCTGCTATACGTTTGATCTACACAGCAAAGTTAATTCTCCATTAATCTCTAGATAAGCAGTAATTAAGTGGTAGGATTATTCTCCAGTAAGCTTATAATTCCACTTCAGCACACATCGCAACTTTATCTCATTATTTCCATATACATCCATTTCTTTCTGAATATGGAATTAATAAAATTGTATAATAATTTGGCGAAGACCCAAGAGACATGCCGACATGTTCATATCCAGAGCAAGAAAGGGCCTATTTGAGTAAGGCTGATGGAAGGAAGAGAAATTTGAATAGTAAAAGATAACTATAGAGGATGGAGCAATGGCAATAAATTTCAGTTCAAGGAGTATTATGTCAGCCTCAGTAACAAGAAGGAAATTGTATACAGGAAGGTAGAAAGAATTGCTTTGATCATGTGTCACATGTCGTGACACTACAGGAAGGAATAAACATTTCCCGCCGACTGGTGTGAATGTAGACCAATGAGCCCAAAAAACTTTATGCCTTAAGTTCTGGAATTTATTGGAGCACCATGACAAGAACCTTCAGGCATACATATCAGTGTCCTCTGAATGCACCAATAACAATTAACTTTTCACCAGTCATTTTGGCAGTAATCATTAGCCATGGCCGTGGAGAAGGAAATAGTGCCCAGGGGAGGTATTGTATATTGTTGTTGTTTTGCTGACAAATATTTGGCACAGACCAACTGACATTTTTAGTGGGTTTTAAATATATCAAATTTAACTTTACTAAGCTTAACCCCCAAATGTTTTCTCAAATACGTTTTACCCCAATCTTCTCCATCTCAGTAGACAGTAACAAAGTTTTAAATTGTTCAGGCCAAAGACCATGGAGTTGCCTTGAATTCTTTATGCTGATTTCTATACAGATTATACCTGAAAATTGTGTGTACCATAATAAAATATGTCTACATTCTAATTGGGCTTACTTATAATATTTCTGGGCTAGTTTTTGAGTAGTTTTAAATTTGCAGTGCATACTCAATGTAGTATGCAGATTTTTCTTTTATGCCTGTGTGTCAGCATATGCATGGATTCCTATTATCAGTATTTCCATCAGAGTCGTGCTTTTCTTACAAATGATGAACCCACACTGACACATCATTGTTGTCCAAATCCATAGTATATATTAGGGTCCACTTTTGATATTTTACATTCTGTGATGCGTATCCAGCAGTATAGTATAATACAATGCCTGTTAATTTCTCTCTCCTCTGTAATCACTCCACGAAATCACTGACCTTTTTAATGTTGTCCTAGTTTGTTGCCAGAATGTTGCATATTTGTAATGATGATACAAAGTATTTTCAGATTAGTTCTTTCCCCTAGTAATGCATAAAGGGTTTCTGTGTATATTCTCATAGGTTGATAACTTACTCAGTACTGAGTAAAATCCAGTTGTCTAGATGCATCATTTTTCCATTTAATTATGAAAAGGTATCTTGGTTGCTTCCAGGGTTTGGAAGTTTTGAAAAGGTGTCATTAAAATCACTGCATAGGACTTATTGTGGACATGCCTTGTAGATTCCTTTTAGAAAATACTGAGAATACAATTATTTGATTTTCTAAGAAACGACTAAGCTGTTTTCCCAAGTGATTGAACCAATTTATATGTCCATCTGCAGTGAATGGTAACATCTATCGCTCCACATCCTGTCAATATTTGTTGAAGTCAATGTTCTGAATTTTTATTATTATGATAATTGTGTTGTAGCATCACAGTGTTTTAGTTTTCATTTCTCTGGTACATGTGATGTAGATAATCCTTTGTACTTTCTGAGATGTCATCTTTTTATAACAAGAGGACTGTGTCCCTTAATTAAACTCTCAGGAAAAAAATGCCCAAATCGCTGATATATGGTCCTCCTAGTTCCATATCCTTTACTGTTCTCCTTTGTTATGACTTTCCGTTCCTTTTCTGGCACCTAGTACTTGCTGTTCCAGAAGTCTTCATGCACAGTCGCTTCTTCAGTGCGACTCGCTGATTATTCTAAGCTGCAGCTTCCCTGGAACCCTGCATTTCCTAGCTCCTCATAGATACACTCACTATTTCCCATAGTACTGATCGCCCTAATAGAGTGCATAGCTGAGTTCTTTGTGCATTATGATACTTGACTTGTTTTGCTATGTAAATAAACTCATGAGTGGAGGATTTGTGTCTAGTTCACTGATTTGAATCCTTGAGTCTCTAAAACGGCTTGCCTGGTACCTAGTATGCATTTAGCTAAATTTTAGAAGTATCATTTTTTTTTTTTTTACTTTTATTTTAGTATTAGGAATTGGTTGAGAATTCAATGTGGTGAAGCCCTATTGAAAGAAACTGGATAAAAGCAGGAACTTACAGCTGTTAAAAATATCTCCTTTGACCATGTCAATTAACTCCATAATGTTGTAAATTGTTGTTGGTGTTATGTTGGGGCTTTTAGTTGGTCGGGATGATATTCTGCCAGCTCTGCCTTCAGACCAGATATGGTCTCGCCAAGAAACCGTTGAATTTATCTGGACAATAAGATGCTGGACTCTATGCTTGGTATATGCTTGTAATGAAAGAATTTTGACTGGATTTGAACTGTAATACTGCAACAAGGTGGAGGAATCCACCATGGGGGGAGAATACTGGGAGTGGTTGGGGGAATCCCAGAGCCTATGAAACTGTGTCACAAAATGAAATGTAATTAATAAAAAATTATCACATTTGAACTGATAAAAAAGATTGCAGACTTGTGTTAAGTAATGTGAAAATACATTAGGATTTTATCATGCACAAACTACTTTTACATATAATATCTTTTTTTAAAAAAAAATTGGAAAGGCAGATATACAGAGAGAAGGAAAGATATAGAGAGAATATTTCTTTGCTCCACTGCTTCATTCCCCAAGTGGCCACAGTGGCTGCAGCTGAACTGATCCAGAGCTGAGCCAATCTGAAGTCAGGAGCTAGGAGCTTTCTTCAGGTGCAGGGTCCCAAGGCTTTGGACCATGCTCTATTGTTTTCCAGGGTCATAAGTTGAATGTGAAAAGGAGCACCCAGGACACAAATTGGAACCCATGTGAGATCCCTTGACTACAAGGCAAGGATTTAGCTACCAGACAATTGCATCAGGCCACAATATCAAATTTTATTATCATGACAGTTTTATGGCTTGGTTATTTTAAACTTATTTTTATGTGTAGTACAATGAACATTAGTGCTTCAGAAACTCATGCAGATTGTAGAATTTACAAGAATAAGGACAGTATCAAGAAAATAATAGAGAAAATGTAGTGGAAAGACTGCAAAGATGAATGAGATGAACACAGATGGTTGTGGAAAATAATGAGTGATCCCACTTTCTCCAGTTTGCTAGATGGCTTAGGGAAAAAAACTGAAAATAATTAGACAAAGCCGTCTTGCAGTAATCTAGAATAAGAGATAAGATAATTGAAGAGGATTGTGAACATGATAATAAAGTTAATCTACTTGAAGATATCATTACAAATACCCAGAAAAAGCTAGTTCTAATCAAAATATGACAGCAAAGATCTGCATGATAATATGAAAAGTTAGTAAACAAGAAAAAATAAATGTGATAAATTAATGATTGATAGGTAATTGAAAAGTTTTACAAAGGGGGAAGTCTATAGAATCAATTTGATTAACAATAATGTAAATTTAAGGATCATGCAAACAATATTATTTTTAATGGTTAAAGTATCAATTAAGCAGTTACATTATTAAGTTGACTAACATTAATCAGTTAATATAACTTATTTTTTAAATTGACAGAGTGAGAAAAATGAAGGGAAACACAGAGACTGAGGGAGAGAGAGAGAGTTAGGAAGCTCCTATCTGTTGGTTCACTGCCAAAATGCCCAAAAGAGCTAAGGCTGAATCATGTCAAAGCCTGGAGACAAAAGTTCTATCCAGGCCTCCCTAGGATTGTCAGGAATCAAGATGCTTGAGACATCATCTACTGCCTCCCAGGTGTATTCACAGGAGCCTGGATTGAAAATCAAGCACGGGCCTTGATATAGAATAGGGCATTGAAAGAGAAAGGTCATTTTCCTGAGACACAAGATCTACCCAGATTAATGTTCTTTATTTTTAACTATTTATTTTCATTTTATTGAAAGGTAAAGAGATAAGGAGACAGAGAGAGAAACAAAAATTGATTTCCGTTCCTTGAGTCGCTTTCCAAATGACCACCACAGTCAGGGTTATGCCAGGTCAAACTCAGGAGCATTTAAATCAAGGACCTGAGCCATCAATTGTTGATGCTTAAAATGCATGTTAGCAAAAACCTGTATCAGTGGATTAGTCTGAATTTAAACCAGGCATTCTGATTTGGGGTAAATGTGTCCCAAGCAGTAACCCAAATTGCTGTGCTAGATAGTGACCCTGTATTAACATACTTAATGTGAGTTATTTTTCTTGGCAAGTTAAGCAAAGGGAAAATAAGTGTAAGAGAAACAGTAAATTTGGGGTAAGAAATCTGGGTCCTCCTGTTCTCAGATTGTGGTAAGTCAGTAATAATTATACCTTAAAGTAAAGGAATCTCTGAAAAAAGAATAAAGCATATGACTTGAAAATATTTCAAAGAAATCATTGCAAATTAAAAATAATTTTCTTAAGGAATTATACTTAAACCAGGAGGTATGGTTTAAGATACAGCAGAGAAGCATATATTTCTATCTAGTAGTACTATTTGGTTATTAAAGTCAAATTGATATATTGTCTTAACGAAAACAAATATTCAACTAAACAAGTATATAATCTTTGCCAAGATTATTGCTTGCAGTTGAAAAACAAAAAAAGAAATCATACTACAAGAAAATGTAAAGGTTGAACA